TCGTGCCCCCTCAAAAATAATGAGTGCATGACGCGCCCTGGCAGCAAGGATGCAATTATTTGAGTCTGCTCCAGTGTCGGCTCCAGCCCCTGAGTCTGCTCCAGTGTCGGCTCCAGCCCCTGAGTCTGCTCCAGTGTCGGCTCCAGCCCCTGAGCTTGCTCCAGTGTCGGCTCCAGCCCCGGAGTCCGCTTCAGTGTCGGCTCCAGCCCCGGAGTCCGCTTCAGTGTCGGCTCCAGCCCCGGAGTCCGCTCCAGTGTGGGCTCCAGCCCCGGAGTCCGCTCCAGTTTCGGCTCCAGCCCCTGACCAGAGTCAAGAAATGGCTCTAGCCCCAGTCCCGAGAGAGGGCTGCTGTTTCCACATCGAACCCAGGGAGGGCTCCAGTTCCTGAGTTTAGTCCACAGAGGGCTCCAGTTCCCAAGTCAAGCCCAGAGAAAGACTCTGTTCCCAAGTTATGCCCCGAGAGGGCTCCTGCTCCCACGTCCAGCCCAGAGAGGGCTGCTGTTCCCGAGTCAAGCCCAGGGAGGGCCACTGCTCCTATGTCAGGCCCACGGAGGGCCTCAGATCCCGAGTCAAGCCCAGGGAGGGCCGTAGACAGGTTTTTATGCATAGTTAATAGATTACATTATTAGGTTACTTTGACCATCTACCAGTATAGATCAACATAATCTATAAGGTGAGAATCAAGATATTTCAGGATATAGTTAATGCATCTGGGGATGTTTCTAATAAAAAGGAAAAAAATTAATAAAACATAAGTGCTGTTGTGACTGCTGTGTGAACACCCCCCCCCCCTGTCGGCTCCAGCCCCGGAGTCCGCTCCAGTTTCGGCTCCAGCCCCTGACCAGAGTCAAGAAATGGCTCTAGCCCCAGTCCCGAGAGAGGGCTGCTGTTTCCACATCGAACCCAGGGAGGGCTCCAGTTCCTGAGTTTAGTCCACAGAGGGCTCCAGTTCCCAAGTCAAGCCCAGAGAAAGACTCTGTTCCCAAGTTATGCCCCGAGAGGGCTCCTGCTCCCACGTCCAGCCCAGAGAGGGCTGCTGTTCCCGAGTCAAGCCCAGGGAGGGCCACTGCTCCTATGTCAGGCCCACGGAGGGCCTCAGATCCCGAGTCAAGCCCAGGGAGGGCCGTTGTTCCAACACCTTTATTCTGAGCTTATTGGAGATGCTTAATACCTTCAGTGTGCATGCAGTTAGATATGCTCCATGTAGCGGAGGAAAGTACCATTGGTGACGGCATCCTGCTGCCAGTTATTGCTGAAATTAATGCCATCTGATATTCAGAACCAATCTACACGTGTCAAATGGCTAAATTTAACAGACTTTGGCTGCAAAAGGAAGACAGTGCCTGGAAGACAGTCATTAGAGGCATGGAAAATGGCAGCATTGTCACAGATGTGTTGCAGAGGCAGAATGTGCTCTTGACATTAGATGGACATCTTATAATGCCGTATTGCTTAGACAAATCTTTCACGCCCAGTTCAAGGTGGTCTCCCATTTGTTTGTTTGTTTAATAGCAAATGAATAAACAACATTAATATTGTATGTATGTATTTATAAGTGTTTTAAATTTTGGATGGTCAATTTTGGACAGCTAAATTGTTATTATTTGTGTCTGAGGAGAGGTAACTACTGCTGAAAACATGCTGTTGCTGAAAAACAGACGAAAACATAAACCTGTACTTTAATTGCAGGCCTGCAGCAAGCTATCAGAGTACTGTCATTTACATTGGATATTTTTGAGCGACTTCTGGCTCGTTAACTTTGACTCTGTTCACTTGACGTTAAAGTTGTTCTAATTATAAGCTACAGAGTCCCATAGCCTCAGTGTAGGGATACAATTAAAGCGTAAACATTGCTGTGAACGCTTGCAATCAATGAGCTCACCCTCTCCTGTGGATACTGATTTTTCGACCACCTGAAATTCCTGATAAAGCGAGCTGTTCACTTGAAAGTGCTGGCTGCTAATATCTGTTGTGCTGAAATGAAGAGTTACATTGATGTTTACAGTCAATCACACGTTTGCTTACAACCTTGTAATATCTATCTATCTATCTATCTATCTATGATTTGTTCATTCTGTCTGTATCTAACTATTGTTCTATCATTCTGTTGTTTGTTCTATTTATCATTCATTCGTTCTATCTGTTTTTCCGATTGTTCGATTGTTTGTTCTTTCTATCGTTCTATCTATTGTTCAATCGTTCATACTATCTGTTGTTTGTTTGATCTATCATCTGTTTATTCTTTCAGACATTTGATCATTCTGCCGTTCTATAGAGCAATAATATAGAGCAATACTCTATCTATCATCCATTTGTCCATTCTATAATTCATTCTATCCATCATCCATTCTGCCGTTCGTTCTATCTATTGTACATTTGTTCTTTCTATCGTTTGTTCTATCTAACATTTTATCTGTCATTCTATCTGTCTTTTGAACATCTATTCGTTTGGTCTGTTTGTCTGTCTATCTATCATTTGTTCTATGTATTGTTCTTTCGTTCATTCTGGCATTCTGTCTCTCATATTGTTTAATCATATTCATATTGTTTCTATTATTTCAACTGTCTGTGTCTCTCTGCTTGAAACTTTATATTTTATTTTACAGTTATATATATATATATATACAGTGGGTACGGAAAGTATTCAGACCCCCTTACATTTTTCACTCTTTGTTATATTCCTTATATTCAAATTTTGAATTCTGCATCTTGTTTACTACCTCACTTTAACTCTGAATGCTGTATAACCCTGATAGCAACAGCTTACTAGAACACCATAGCAAATACATAACCCGCCAAAAACGAATCAGAACAACTCAGCAACCATATACTGGCAGCCGCCCAAAACACCCAAGCATCGTGATGGTGACTTTTGCACAGACAATCCCCACTTGTGTTTTCTTCAGAAAATGTTGTTTTGTCCCCTTCAGCTGCTTTGGCTATTTTTGGCTGACTGTTTCCATCTTCCCTGCTGTCATACCCGAACATTTCTCTCATCATGAACCGAGTGCCGTATCACGATTTTCCTCTTTCTCATTTCCCCCTCACTGGCTCACCTTGTATTCAGTTAAAATGGCAATTTGATGAAAAATTCCATCTCGACGGAATGTGTTGCTTCAGTAATCTGTCTGCAGTTAGCAAGCCGACTGGACGAGAGCTCCATTCATCTTCCACGGCCTTTATTTCACAGCACAATCACTGTCCGCTCCGCACAGACGCGTTGCTTCGCAGGACTTCTCACCTTTTTCTGTTCCCCTACAGGTCCAGGAGTCACTCAACCCCAATAATCTGGAGTACTGGATGGAGGATATCTACACACCGGGCTACGATTCGCTGCTCAAGCGCAAGGAGGCGGAGTTTCGCAGAGCCAAGGCATGTAAAATCGGTGCGTTGATCGCTGCGGCCACCTGCACTGTGATACTGGTCATCGTAGTGCCCATTTGCACCATGAAGTCTTGAGATTTCAATGGGACTTCATTTGCGGGGATTGTAATTAGGTCTGATTTCAGCCACCGGCCTTAGACTTTACTGGAATATCTATCGAAATATATCACAACAAAAAGTTAAGGATTGCAATTTGACGTGTCTTTTTTATTTTCGTTAGTCAATATTTATAACTTGAATAAATTATTTGTTATGTAGTAGATGGCCTTACTTAAAGGCTCGGAGGTGCACCTTTGTTTTATAGTCCAGAATATAATGTACCGATATGTTTTATGTCTTTCTTTTTTTGGTAAAGGGAAAGCTTTATGTTTAAGCGCATTCTATTTTTTACTTTAGGTCTACTATGATTACAAGAATTTTAACAAGAGTTATTTTTCAATGAATACAGATGGCCTTACTTAAAGGCTCGGAGGTGCACCTTTGTTTTATAGTCCAGAATATAATGTACCGATATGTTTTATGTCTGTTTCTTTTTTTGGTAAAGGGAAAGCTTTATGTTTAAGCGCATTCTATTTTTTACTTTAGGTCTACTATGATTACAAGAATTTTAACAAGAGTTATTTTTCAATGAATACGCTGACAGAATGTTTTAAAGACGAGTTGAATTTATCTTTGGAAATCAATGATTGGGCTCGTGCAATGCCTTTTTATAAGGAATATATATTCAGATAGCGCAAATATATAGTTAATGTGTGCATTCAGAAAGGAATAGTTCATGCGAAAATGAAAAGTCTGTCATTGTTTATTCACCTTCATGTCACATAAACTTGTGTGCTGTTCCATTGATTTTTTTTGTGCTTATAATGACCATATTCTCAAAAAAAAATAAAAAAAATAAACACCACCCTGTTGAAAAAAACAGCATATGCTGGTTAGGTATGTTTTGACGCTGGGATGCTGGTTTAAGCTGGTCCTTTGCTGGTTTATGCTGGTCATGTGCTGGCAAAGGACCAGCATAGACCAGCATAAACCAGCAAAGGACCAGCTTAAACCAGCAAAGGACCAGAATAAGTGTGAGTGACGTGACATGTGGCCAAGTATGGTGACCCATACTCGGAATTAGTGCTCTGCATTTACCCATCCAAAGTGCACACACACAGCAGTGAACACACACAAACCGTGAACACACACCCGGAGCAGTGGGCAGCCATTTATGCTGCGGCGCCCGGGGAGCAGTTGGGGGTTCGGTGCCTTGCTCAAGGGCACCTCAGTCGTGGTATTGAAATGATATAAACCAGCAAAGGACCAGCTTAAACCAGCATCCCAGCGTCAAAACATACCTAACCAGCATATGCTGGTTTTTTTCAACAGGGCATAAAAGTAGTCCATATGACTTGTGTGCTATATTCGAAGTGAAACATTTTAAATGAATAAGCACTAATAAACCCAAATACGCAACTGGCCCATATTTAAATAAAATTTTGTGGGAAACTAGTGTAAAGTCACGTATTCATCATCAGTCACACAGATTTGGAAAAACATTCCAAATTCCAACATTGCAAAAAAACTGACAGAATTGTAATTTTTAGGTGAATTATTCCTTAATGTTGAGGGGTTTTGATTGTAGAATGTGAGGACAGTAAAATGACTCTATTAAGGATATTTATTCAGTTTGTTTGAATAGTGACTGTGACTTCATTTCCTTTGGATTGAGTCTGTATTAATGCCAATACAGCATTTCAAAAACAATTATATCATAGTACATAGCTGCTTTCTCTTTGATTGTGATTATACATACTTTGCCTTGTTCTATCATAACTAATCATAACACTGTATACTTGAATTGCCAAATCACTTTCAACTAGCTCAGTTTTTCTCTGAAAGTGTTTTTCTTGCACTTGTTCACCAGACCGATCTAAAATTGGACCTGTCAACAAAAACTGTGAACTTACCTTAATGATGTTCACCTTTGACACTCTTTACACCCGATTTAAAAGTGATTATTCTGAGAAGTCAAGCTGTAGGGCCGTTGAGTGAAAACCGCCTGTTAGTCAGAAACAATATTGTCAGAAACAGGCGCTGTTCTACAACTAATGAGCTGCATTTCTTGTCTAACGCCAGCTATCTTCTGAGGCAGCATCCTAACTGAAATAAGCCCTTAGTGACTGATTTGGTGTGCTCCAAATAGACAGCAACTGTGTGCGTCATACAGATAGCGCTCCTCACGTGAAGCACACAGGAAACTTGATTAACAATTGATTTCAGTAGAGTTTGACACAAGCACGTTGCCCTTTGGAACAGCCTGTGATGCCTTAAATGCTGTCTATGTAATCAGCTCACTAGGTTTTGGAACAATGCCTGAACAAAAAAACAGAAAAAGCATTGTGCAAACCAACTGATATTTGAAGGTTTTTCTAATATTATAATATGTGAATGTTATAAGGAATAGAGTGCTGCCGGAATGAGTCCCAAAACCCAGAAACAAGTGGGGGGGTTTTTGCACTTCTGGTTCCACTGTCCTGAAGTCAAAATTTAAAAAAAAAGATTTTACCTGTCTTGAAAAAGGCGATTACTTCTGAGTTTTTCGGGGACTTAAAACATCATCACACTGAACTCGCGCTTTTGCAAAGTATTCAGAAGCTTATGCTAAAGTCATGCAAACATTGCAGTTCATTGTTAGCCTACAATTAGCTTTTTACTTCTGCCGATTGTATTGACAGAAGTTGTTTATTTGTGAGGTTATCTTGAACAAAATGTGTGAGAATCATACACTTTTGTTGGTTACAGAGATTATTTCCACATTAATCCAAAAGCCAGCGGAAATATCCTACTGGATTTTTTGTCGAGGGAACCAGGGTGATGCAAACTTTTGGGTTGACCTACAAAAATCATCCCTGCAGCACTTTATGACCACTGCTAATCAAATAACGGTGCATTTTTTTGTAGCCAACCAAAATCAATGGTCTGTCTTTTATAGTGTGTTGTATCAAAGGAAACAGGTTCCACTAAATTTAAAGGTGAAGTGTGTAATTTTTTGTTAGATTTATCTTAAATTAAAGAAATAGTGCAACCAAAAATTTAAATGGGCTCACCCTCAGGCCATCCAAGATGTAGATGAGTTTGTTTCTTCATCAGAACAGATTTGGAGAAATTTAGCATTACATCACTTGCTCACCAATGGATGCTCTGCAGTGAATGGGTGCCATCAGAATGAGAGTCCAAACAGCTGATAAAAACATCACAATAATCCACACCACTCCAGTCCATCAGTTAATGTCTTGTGAAGCGAAAAGCTGTGTGTTTGTAATAAACAAACCCATCATTAAGATGGTTAAGAGCAGGGGTCACCAAAAGCAGTCATGGAGGGCCGATGTCCTGCAGAGTTTACACCTGAACCAGCCAGTCAAGTTCTTACTAGGTATACTTGAAACTTCCAGACAGGTGTGTTGAGTCAAGTTGGCGCTAAACTCCGCAGGACACCGGCCCTCCAAGACCGAGTTTGGAGACCCCTGGTTAAGAGGATCCATTGGTGATCAAGTGATGTAATGCTAGATTTCTTCAAATCTGTTCTGATGAAGAAACAAAATCATCTTCATTTTGGATGGCATGAGGGTGAGTACATTTTAAGCAAATTTTCATATTTAGGTAAATTATTCCTTTAACTAGTGCCATAGAAATAGCACACTTCGCCCTTTAAGAGAAATTTAACTTGCACATAAAAATGACATTAATAGAATTATCCTTTACACTTAATGTGAGAATTTACTACTACTACTACTATTACTTTTGATCTTAAGTTTGTTCTTGGGAGTTCTGCAACAACATTGGTTTTCAATGATGAATAGATTTCAAAATATATACATTCATATCCCTACCGCTGTAGTTTTGCAATGTTATATTCAGAAACATATAGAACTAATTCACCAAATAATAAAGCTTGTCATTTATTTGCTCACCTCATGGCAATCCAACCCCATAGGCTGATATTTTCTCAACACAACAGGAAAATTATGAAATGATGTGACAGTATTGTGTGAGAATAATGGCTTATGGGTTTGTAATAGCATAAGGTTTTAGTAAATAATGACTTTGACTGTCACTTTTGGGCAGTGGTGCAGTGCAGAGTATACACAGGTATACAACGTATTTTTATCAGTCGGCATTACGTATACCCACTTCAAAATCCCCTCTGAAGCGCATCATTCAGTAGAGTCCTGCATTAGCCAAATCATGACTGTCCAGCACATGAGTAGCTAATTCAATCGCATGTGAACAAATGCAAATATTCCCTAAAAACAATCAGTAATACGGTCAGGACCGAGGCTTAAACAAGCTCATGCAGTCTATGTTTCATTCATACTGAAAAGAAAGTCCAAAATGGACTCGTAGAAGTAATAACTTATGATGTGCCAGGAAATCCCTAATATGGATAAAGGCATCCCGCTATTACTCTAGCCAAAGCAATCTCAGCTGTAGCTGAGCTGAATAAAAAGAAACGTTTTGACTGATGAAACATGAAGACGGTAAACACACGATTGCAACAATATATGGTTCATGTGTGTTTTTCCAGTCATCTCCAGGTGATAAAAAAGCATCTGAATAATGCAGTGCAGTTTGTAGTATATAAACAAATCATAAAATTGTCATTAGGAAAAATATTATAGAATACAAATAATTGGTAATTGTCCAGCAGTGTATTTGATTTCTCAGCCAATTAAAAGTAAGAGATAGGATAGTAATAATAATAATAATACAATTAATAATAATAATAAAAAAGTATTGTTATATTTGACATTTCTGTCCCCCTCACTTCTGAAATGATGGCTACACCCCTGTATCAGGGCTCAAAAATACCATTTGCCCATCACTGTATGTCATGGGAGAAACAGTCAGTCACACATAGGAGCAGAGCTGCACAATTATGGATAAACTGAGAATCACAATTTTTTTATTATTATTATTACAATTAGAGATCATGATTCTCCCACGATTCTGTTCAGAACAAAATAGCATGTAATTTAGTAGAGGTTCTGCCAAAATGTTAATTGCTGCAGTCTATTTATTTATTTATTATTTTTTATTTTAATTATTTATTGCAAAATCTGCACCTCTTCTGTGGCTAATATTAATTTCATAATGATCCTTACTCCATGAATTCAAGCAGCAGAAGTTAAGTGACAG